CCCCCCCCCGGGGCCTCCTGCCACTCCCTGAAGCAGGGCCTCAGACTCTCTGCTCTTCCCTTTGCTGGTTCTGCCCAGCCTTACCCTCTGAGGCCACCCCTAAATCCTGCTCCCACATGCCCACCTGCAGGGCTCCCCCCAGGGCCTCAGCCCTGGCCTCATCACTGCCAGCCCATCCTATGCAGCAAGCCAGTAGGGGTTCCTGCCCAGACAAGGACCTTCGCGCTCAGGAGCTGGCCCCGGAGCCTCTGTCTTGGGTCGAGAGGACAAGGCTTTGTAAAGCCAGGTGTGGGGCAGTGCCAGAAGCTACCGGCGAGGCGGGCTGGGACAGGAAGGTCATCTAGCACGCCCTCTCTGGAAGGGATTTTCCCGAGCGCACGTCAGATCGCAGCATATCTCCTCACCTGACAATCTGATCTAATCCTCCTGGAGCCGGTGATGCACTAACTCTGCCATCAACACGCCTCCACCCTGTGCTGCTGGGAGCAGTCTCTATGAGATGGGGAGGGGGGTGTGCTTGTGCAGATGCCGTGAGGAGGTCTCCGGCGGGGAAAGGCCCCCTGGGGCCCCTGCACCCCTGGGATCACTGGGGGAGCGGCACGGGGCGAAGGAACCAGAGTGGAGATAGATTCAGTGACTAATAATTTCAGACCCGGAGAGCACTCACGTGTGCTCGGCACTCATGTCAGACAAGCTGTGGTTTGGTTTCGGAGAGACAGAAGAGAGAAGATGACCTTCTAGTAATTTCCTCGGACCTCACAAAGTATGGCTGTACATGAGGGAGTCCCGTGACACTTCCTCCCGCTTGAGCCCTGGCTCCTGTTCCCCGTCAGCGGGTGACCCGAGGCCCCTGATGGAGTTGGAGCGGGACCGTTAGGCTCATCTCGCACCCCAGGGCCTGGGCCTCCCTGGCTGAGCTCGGAGGCAGCTTGGGTGCTGCAGCATGACAGGTTTGCTGGGGGCAGCCGTTGGGGCAGTCTGCTGGGCGACTCCCAGAGCTGTGGGACAGCCGAGGATGTGGGGACACGGTCTGACACCACTGGGCTCAGGCAGGGCCCCCAACACTCTGGGAAGCACTCACCACCCCTCGCCCTGCATGACGGGCACCCCTGGGTACTTACAAACACCTCGATGGTGACAGGGACAGTGCTGTTCAGAGGAGGGCTGCCAGCATCCTTGGCCATGACTGTCAGATAAATCAGCCCGTTGGGTATCTGTTCATAATCCAGGGGACGGCTTACACTGATCACTGAAATGACAGGAACAGGGCCCCAGGCCCTCTCTGAGCAGACTTTTTTTCTTTTTAAATTTTTAAAGTTTATTTATTCATTTTGAGAGAGACAGAGAGATCGAGCATTGGAGGGGCAGAGAGAGAGAGGGAGAGAGAGAATCCCGAGCAGGCTCTGCACTGTCAGCGTGGAGCCCGATAAGCAGACTTTAGATGCTCATCCAGCCGGGGGTCTCCTTTGGGCAGGGAGGACGTGGCTGGCTCGGGCTGGCCAGCCCTGCCTCATTTCCCCCTCCTTCCCCTGAACTCTTGGAGCCTCGTGGTCTTGACTTAGGTTTACTGACCGCCTGATACATGCGAGGCCCAGTGCTGAGCACACTTGGTGTGAACTGTTTGGGTGGTAATATAAGCACCGCTTTACAGATGAGGAAACCAAGCTCAGGGAGGTTTAGTAACTCGCCCAACGTCACACAGCTAGCGACGATGACAGAGGCATAGGCTCTGAATCCAGAGCCCAGGCTCCTTCCCGGTGGGTGCCATTGGCTGCTTATCTGTCTGTCTCACCTACTTATCTGGCACTCTCCATTAGTCTGGGAGCTGCTCGAGAGGACAAGGTCATGCCTCAGTCTGTCTAGTTCAGTCTCTTACCACTTCTCCCTCCAAAGAAGCACCCACTTACTGCCCAGCCTCGGGGCTACTGGGGGTGATGCCAGCAGTGGGGTGCAGACAGCAGCTCCCTCCTCCATCTCCTATGGCCCCGCCTGTTCCCCCCCATGGACTTTCTCCTCTCTTCTTCCCTCCCTCATCTCCTCCCTTTACCCCATGGGCTCTCTGTGCCCGTCCAGTGGCCTGCTCTGGGCACTGCTTAGACCCTTTGAGGGGTTACTCAGGGCACGGTGCTGTAGACTTTACTCTCAGCAGAACACTGCTTGAAGGTGGTAAAGACCCCCCGCCCCCCGCCCCTGCCACGCACACAAAGCCAGAGGTGGGCAGAGACGAAAGGCAGGATTTGAGGGAGCTGAGATGTCCCCCTCCAATGCCCCTCCCCAGTGCACATGCCTGAACTCTCCCATAGGTGCTCTTGCATTTGGGGGAGGGAAGGCACAGTGGCTCGGGCGTGGGGGTCACTGGTGGTCTGCGAAGTCCTGACAACAGTATGAAGTCACCACTTTGGATGTGGCAAATGGGAGCAAAATTATTGCTTTGGTAATATAAAACCTGAGGGAGGGTCAAGAAGAGGCCGGGGTGTGCAAGCGGGCAGAGACATGGAACTTAAGGTTTTTAAACGGGGTACGCAGATTTTATAGAGACCATCAGGCTGTAGCACCTGGAGCCGGGACCGCAGTTTCTGCAGCCACACTTCTCCGACCCCACCGTGGGGTGCAGGAGGGGTGAGCGCTGAACTCAGAGTCACCCAAAGCACATCCGTTCTGCCTTGGGGGCACCTAACTCATCTTCAAGCATTCGGGATGCTTCTCAGAGGAGGGGACGTCCACAGGAGCCCTTAAAGCCAGCCAGAGGTTATGGGCTTAATGGCCGAAGGGAGGCAGAGCAAAGAGACAGGGAGGAAGGGTTTTCCTGGCAGGAGGAACCGAGTCTGCAAAGACACAGAGATGACCACTGAGGGGAGAGAGTGTCAAGGCGTTCAAAGAGGCTGGGTTCTGGTGTGGGCAGAGAGGCTGGGAGAGGGAGGCTGGGAGAGGGAACCAGGAGCCAGATCACACGGGTCTCCTTGGACACCTTTGCCGCACGGCCTTGGGCAAGTCGCTCCCTGTTCTCTGGACCTCGGGTGCCCCTCATCTGCCAAACCAGGTGGTCTCAAGGTGGCTGCTGCGATTCCCTGCCTGGGTTCAGGAGTCACGGCGGGGCAGGCAGGGCGAGGTCCAGAGTATGGGACTGTGCCTGGACCCAGCAGGAAGTGGCCACAGCCTGGTGGTGGGGGGGGGGCGGCTGAGGCGCACCCAAAGGATCGGGAGGATGGCCGACCAGCCCCCATGGACCTGCCCAGACAGGCTTGGTAAGAAATAGCGGCCCCGCAGACTGTGGTAACATCAGACGCTGGGCTGACCATGGCCTAACACCCACAGACGGATATAGCTGATCAGACACCCAGATCCTGATCCCACAGGAGGGCGATCCCTGGCTTGCGTCGCTCCAGCCGACGGGCTATGGGGCGGTCTCCTGGGTTGGCCAGGGTGCTGGGAAGCAGATGGCCAACCCCATCCTGAGAAGAGGCGTGAGTGTGAGGCCCTGCTCTGGCCCACAGGCCCTCTTCCCTGGGCTGGGCCCTCGGTCCCGCCGCACGCCTACCTACCTCCATAGCCCTCGTACACGCTGATGTCGAAGTAGCTGCCGAAGGCCGAGGCGTTGACGATGCTGTAGGTGATCTGGTTGTTGGGAGGTGAGTCTTCATCTGTCGCCTGGAATTGTGCAGACAGGGCCCGTGAGCCCTCAGGGGTCAGGGCTGGAAGAGGGCGGGTGGGAGGGGAGGGCTGGCCCCCTCCAGAGTCCCCTGCTTTGGGGGATCCGGGCCCTCCTTGTCCCTCCGCGGGAGGGTGACTCCCATGTTGGGGTGTGGAGCTGGCGTGGGGATCTAGAAGGTCAGCTGGAGACCCCGGGAAAAGGGAAGGCCGGGGCTCCCCCGGAGGACGGAGAGGCTTACCACCATATCCGGTATGACCACCTCCTAGAGCCTTCAGTCTCAGCTTGAACGGCCCACCCACAGGGGCCCTCCCCGACCTCTGGACCAGGCAGGCCCTGTGCCGAGCCTGCCGTCCACCCCTCCACACCCAACTGTAGCTTCTTGTTCGGTTTCTGCTGGCCTCACCCACACGGTCAGCTCCGTGCAAGCAGATGACTTACGTTTCTTTTTTAATGTTTACTTATTTTTGAAAGAGAGACAGAGCGCCAGCAGGGGAGGGGCCAACAGAGAGGGAGACACGGAAACTGACACAGGCTCCAGGCTCTGAGCAGTCGGCCCAGAGCCCGACACGGGGCTCGAACTCACGAACTGTGACATCATGGCCGGAGCTGAAGTCGGATACTTAACCGACTGAGCCACCCAGGCGCCCCAGAAACCTTACATTTCTTGATTACTGCCGTGTACCTACAGCCCAGCACACGGTCGGTGTCACTGCATACGGCACGAATGCCACATGGAGGGAGAATGCACTGGAATGAGGTCAGAGATCCTTTTTCCCCATGACTCTCTTTTGGGGCTTCTTTTCAGATGTCTCTGATCCTAGAGGCCCCCAAGGCCGTCCCACCACTCTGGGTGCACCGGGAGCTGAGTGGGGGAGGGCGGGCATGGTGGGTGGGTCCTGCCTTCTCTGCATAACCCCCCCCCCCCCCCCCCCCCCCCCCGCCGCCCCTGCCGCCGTGCCCACCCCGGCTACCTGGCTTCATCCCTGCTGGCTTCAGAAACCCATCCTAAATGGAGGCTCTGGGTCCTGTCACTCTGGGTGGGCACAGTGGGGAAGGCGAGTGGGGACAGGAAGGAGTCTCTGGTCAGAGTTACAATGTGTGGGGGGAATCCCACTGCAGGAGGACGGTGGGAATGTGCGGTCCTGAGTTCTGGTCCTGGCTTCACTACTCCAACTATGCCTCTGGGGACTGTGCCTCTGGGGACTGTGTCTCCCCTCCTGTCTCCCCTTCTGTGAAATGGGCGGTGCCCCACGGTCTCCGGTTCTGTCCAGCTACGGCAGTTCCCGATTCCAAGCAGCCACCAAGGGGCCCAGGTAGGGGTCCTTATGCGAGATCCTGCTTGCCACCTACTAAGGGAGATGGGGAGGACATCCCTTTACTCAATGGGGACCTGAAATTTAAGCTGACACAGATACTTGGCCCATTCGGTTACCAGGGACAGGAGGGAATGCTCAGAGGCCTGACACAAATCTGGGCCAAATTCTTTGTGGATGGCAGGTTGGGGGCTCTCGTGGCAGCTTCTGCAGGGTGGTGGTCAGGACGAGGGCACAGAGGGAAGGATGGGAGGAGGGCTGGACTGCAGGAGGCCCTGGCATCTCCCTTACCCGGAGCCGCACCAGCTGTGTGACAGAAGGCTCATTCTCTCTCAGGGCCCCCACGTAGGCATCCTTCTGGAAGGTGGGCACGTTGTCGTTGACGTCCAACACGTTGATCCTGACCCGGCCTGTGGTCTCCTCCCCACCCCCATCCCGGGCGATGACTGTCAAGGTGAAGCGTTGGATGAGCTCATAGTCCAGTCTGGCGATCAGCATGATGAGGCCTGTGTCCTTGTCCAGAGAGAACCTACGTCAGGTAGGACAGACGGAGAGAAAGGGACCCTGGCGTAAGGCAGCTTGTAGGTAAGGCCTGTATGTACCAGCCTGTCCTTGCCCAAGGTGATAAACAGGAATGAACGGAGTCAGGAATCTGCCCTAAATAAGAAAAGCCCCACTATTTCTGATGCAGAGTGGGGTGGGAGGTGGTGGGCAGGGATCAGGACCACACGGGGCGGGGGGTGTGCGAGAGTCAGGTACGGAAAGGGAAGGAGCAGGTTAATTTCATCTAAGAGGAATTTCAGGCAGAAGGACCCTCCTCCTGTTGTGAATAGGAATTTCTGCCCACTGCAGATATTTAGATGCCGGAGAACCGTCATGGTCAGAGATTCTGCCATTCCAGATGGTTTTGCACCAAAATGTTTTAAATGGGTGGCAAAGCATCCAGCTTGGCAGGGGGTGGAGGGGTGGGCGGGTTGGTCATCTCTTGGGGAATAATACCCCTGGTCTTCTGCTCAAGGGGTGAGCCTTGTGTAAGAGCCCAGGAACTGTGTCCTCGGAAGGAGCAAGGTCCAGCGAGACGGTCCCTCGACCTGCCTCCTCTCAACATCCCCTCAGGAGCCTCCCTTGAGCTGTCAGTTGACATCTGTAGGCCCAGACCTGGTCCACAGCTGCCAGCCACCGAGCCCAGAAGGTCCTGGCTCCAAGCCCAGGAAAGAAGATGGGAAGAGAACAGGAAATCCATGATGATCAGGACAAGGCACCTGAGGGTGTCCCGAGGGACAGGAAATTCCTCCTGCTGCTAGTTCCTTCCTCCCATTTTGAGGCTCCGTCCAGAGTGGCAGGAAATGGCCAGATGCACCTAACAGTCCCTGTCTCTTCCTGACCATCCACACAGATCGTCAGGGCCAGTAATCCAAGCTGACAGCCACTGTCTTACGGACCCTGTTGAGTCTCCAGATGCATCAGACACTTCATTTTTAGAAGCAGACCTGCCCCCGGACTCCAGCTTGGCTTTTGATCGTGTTAAAAACGAGAGGGCTTCCCTTTCAGCTTAACTGCAGACATGGGAGAGAGAGGCCCGGAACCGCGGTGGGTGACAGGGCAGGGCTGGCACAGGTCAGGTGGTGAGGCAAGCCACCCACCCAGCGGCCGAGGCATGTTGAGAGCCCCGTCCTGCTGGAGGCCATGCATCCTGGTGGCGAAGACCGCAGGCAGAGGCCTGGCCCTCGAGCTCACCAGCTGTGTGACTTTGGGCAGGGGACTCAGCCTCTCTGGGTTTCCTCATCTGTAAAGCGCGGGTGATAGCAGTGCCTAGCACTGAGCTCCTCCAGGACTTGTGGGGATGACGCCAGGTAATGCGTGTGCAGAGGGCCTGACGCACCGGCCGGGGTCCTAAATGCTGGCTGCTGCTACGGCAATCGCTTGCTGTGCCATCCCTGGTGTTTCAAAGCTTCTTCATTCCCCAGGCTAAAGGCTGTCATTTGGATGTCAGAGAAACTATGCCCCAAGAGAGGTTAGAGGACCTGACTGAGACTGTGCCACAGCCAGGGTCAAACCAGCAGCGGTGCCCGTGGGTTCCGACTCCTCGCTCAGTGCTCTAGCCACGGGGGCACGGCACCCTCCCTGGGCACTGAGAAGTTTCCTGAACCTCACGAGTAGCAGAGTGCCACCTCTGAGGGGCGGGGGGCTGGGTCTCACCGGTCAGGGTCATCGCTGAAGAAGTAGTTGACCTCCCCGAAGGTGCCCACGTCATTGTCTGTTGCCTGCAAAGGGGAGAACAGGAAGTCGTTACTGCCGGACCCGGCGGACCTCCTGATGTCACCAGGAAACGTCCACAGCAAACCCACGGTCTTCCCACACGACTCCTCGGGCTGCATTTTCTAGAGGTGCGTTGTTCAATACGGTTGCCACCAGTCGCCAACGGCTACTGACATGCACACTGGAGAGCACGGTTCTGGGGGAGCAGCAAGTGTTCTGAGTGGGAGTTGCCTGCTCTGCCACGGCCACGGGCACCGGGCCGCGAGAGGCCCTTGACCGCAGTGGGGGCCTATCTGAATCCTTCTCTGGGATTCTTCTGGCTATCGCTGGGGCTGGACGCTTCCTTCCGGGGCACTGAAGCCCAAACACTACGGGCTGAGAGCTGCTGGGATGCGTAGGGGGGACAAAGGTGTCCCCAGAGGAGAGCTAGGAGGAGAGGGGCAGAAGCTTACGTGTTCTAGAGTCCTGACCCTGACATCCCTTCCCTTTGCCTCAGTCTGTGAGTCCAACAAGACCTCTTTCACGCAGTCTGGTCCAACTGGGCTTCTGCCACTTGCAGTCGGAAGAGACTGGAGGGAGAGACGCCTGCCTTATGCTGATGACGGTAGCAGTGATGGTGACCACTGCCAGCCTGTCCTGTCGTCACGCCTTTTACATCTTCGAAGACCTCATTTTATCCTCACAACCGTCCCCCATGATGAGGAAGACAGAGGTTTCTACCCAGTTCACAGATCACAAAACTGAGGCCCACTCTCCAGCGAGGCCCTGTGTATTCCTGTCACCGTTCTAGGTCATGAGCAGGTTATAGGCAAAGTGGGGCAGAAACAGGGATCCTCACTCCCAGCCCGGGGATCCATCCTTTCGGCCACCCCCGTGGGGCCCCTCTCCATCTCCTCCCTTCTCTAGGATGACAGTGCTTCTAGCAGAGGTTTGGTTTCTGAGGCTGGGACTTCTGGCTCCTGCATTGTCCCTGGCATGGTTGCAGCCCACAGTATAGGTTAATGACACCATTCATTCATCCCTTGTTAAGCATTCACCGTGTGCCAGGCACGGTGACCCTGCTTGGAGTCACTCAGGCTACTCACTGCCCTGGAGCTGCCCCCAGATGCCAGGAGGGCAAGGCCTTGGGCTGACCCTAGGGTCACGTGCTTCACTCTCAGGGCTTCTCTCTGATTGTGATTGGCTTTCCGCTAATAGAAACTTTCGTTTCAATGCTTTTATTTTGGGGCGTCATGGAGGCCTAATTGACAAATAAAATGGTAATGTAGTTGAAGCGTACAACGTGATGATTTGATATCCGTGTACGTTGTGCAGGGATGCCCCCGCTGAGTTAATTAACGCATCCGTCACCTTGCTTCTATACCTTTTCAAATCTTTCTCGGCAAGAACGCTGAAGCTGTACTCTCTTAGCGAATTTCGATTCTACAATATGGTGTTGTAAACTATAATCACCATGTTGTTATACATTAGAGCCTTGGACCTCATTCATCTTCTGGGCACGAGTTTGTACCCTTTTGCCAACCTCTATTCCCCCCACCCTCAATATCTTCGTACTA